CCCCAGAGGAAGCTCGTCGTAATACACGAATACCACAATCGTTTGGCGCAAAAACGCCTGGTGCCAGAGCGTACGCCGGCGCCAAGGAGGGCCAGACGTGTGGGATTTAGTTGGATCAACAAGTTTGCTGGACATTTCGTCAGGTTAGGCTTGATTCGTTGAACATGGATATCACGTTAGGTCGTTGTGAATGAGCCGGCGCCTACGGTGCAGGAGTCGAACGCTTTTGCACTTTTTCACTAGGTGTAATATTCGTGTTCTACGGGTCGAAATTACCCCTGAAGGCAAGTTTCTAGCCGAAATCCACAGTCATGGACGAATTTCGATCAAAATCCGGCTCAGTTCTTGAGGAGTGGGGCAGTAAAGGGTAAATAGTGCCTTTAATCTTCCTGATTGTACCAAATAATTTGCAGGTGAAATTCAGTCAAACTGGTCATTTCCTTGACTCTTCTGCGAAAGGCCACATTCAAGTGTTTGTTAAAGGCATGGTGCGGGACGAGGCACACTCGCCAATCTCATCAGCGATGATGGTAGAGTGGTGGGTAACCCCTGATGTCGAGCTGCTTCGCGGATTGAAAAGCCTAACAGAGACGCTGGAAGCCGCCTCGACCGCATTGCAAGCCTCATCCGTAAGCTCCACCTTCCGCTGTGAGCCGCAACTTTGGTGCTGTCGGAAAGGGTGCGATCTCGATGCTGGCGGCGCCAGCGCTGTAGCCGCGCAGCTAGCATGGAACTAGCGATCCGGAAAACTCGTCACAATGCTCACGCCTACCGTAAATAACTCGGCCGGTGTTCTAGTAAGGGGTTCATATTTGAGCTGTTGTAAATTTTCTTCACTTACGCTTTGCTCCTATACTTCTTGTTTAAGTATGATCACCCTCAATCTTTGATCAAAAGTTTTGCTTTATAACGGCACCCAGTGCTGGTCGAGCCTGCCTGCTGTGGGACTACTCACCTATGTTCCAGTTATCACAACAGCCAAAAAAACTTCTCAAAATCTACGACATGTATTAGAAATCGACTATGTCGTCGGCTATTAACTATGTTCGATTAGCGCTTTTAGTGTATCTTGTGCTCGCAACTCGCCACTGTACAGAAGGTGTTGACAACTATCTCTTGAAAGGGTTTACCATTTCGTTCTCAACTCACCAAATCTCAAATCGGTGGTGGAACACCTGATCAGGTCCGAGCCGTGGCGGGATGTGCGGTACAGGATCGCGATGGTGAATAATACGATAGGCGTACGGAAACTGTAAAACCAACCCCTTAGAATTAAAGTACCACTTATTGAATGGAGAAGGACATACCGTAGCCTCATGCCATGTGGCGAAGTCGTAGTCGCCTGTTCGAGGCTGGCCAAATGTGACCAGTCGTAGATTTTCTGGCGTAGTCATATTCCACTTAACTAGGTATGAGGCACAGATGGAAGCGATCGACGCACCAAGCGAGTGGCCGGTCACCTAAATAGGTAACGACTGTATTGCGATCTATTTCCCGGAATATCTTTGAACGCTGCCTAGGCCTTATTGTTTTAGGTGATCATTTTCGTAATCACACCATGACTGTAGTGCTTAGCTGTGAGAAGCAAAGCTGCAGTCTAGTGTATTTTTCTTGTAGGCTTAAAAAATGGTAAGTTCCCAAGTTCTGTAAGACTCACTGGACACAAAATTTTCTTGCACCTGTAGTAGTTTCGATTTCCCGTTTTTTTACTACTGAATAATCGTGAAGGGAGAACATGGCTTCTCCGCTTGTGACGGCTCGTTTTTCCGAATATGTGAATTAGCGAGCCAATAAGCGAGTCTCCGTCTTGAATGCTAATATGTTATGTTCTTTATAGGCCATAAGAAAACTCCGGAAAATGGGCGATGTTTTGAAATTGTCGATGAAAAGAAGGTGAGGACATATGAGAATAAATGGAAGAAAAATCGTGAATTGCATGAAAAATACGAATCTCTGTCTACGCTGCAGAGAAGTCTGACGATGAGAGGCAGGCACCCAGATGAGAGATAATGTGAGCTGCGGAGAGGGATTAGATAGAGAATAGCAATGAACACTGCGACGCAGATGGGATATTGGGCGGTGGGCGCGACCCTGATAGTTCAGGTGGGATTTGATCAGGAAGTATCTAGCGCTACGCGTCTTAGGTGAATGTTCGATGTGCCAAAAATGCACAGGTTTCTCAGTGGCGGATCAATCACAGTTCCATCCACAGAGAGAACTATGTACTCAGTGAGGCTAGCACTGGTCCTGTCGTGTAGACATTGCTCCTTTTTCTATTATTTCTTCGTTAGGTGCTAACTTAGTTGGGGGGGGGGGGCACGCGGCGGCGCGGCAGTCTGCTCGCCTGGCATGTTCGGAAATCCGTGGGCCAGGGGGAGTGTAGGCAGTCTAGGGGGGTGGGGGGTGGGGCAGTCACTTGACATGCGTGAAAAGCTGGAATGTTCGAGTTTACACTGTCTCGCTCGAGAGAGCCCAGGTGAGCAGACTGCCGCGCCGCCGCGTGGTCCCCCCCAACCCACTTAGCACCTCGTATTTGTCCTCAAATTTAACCACAATTTGATAACTCGTCACCTACGTTTTTAGAAGAAGCTAATTGCTCACTCAGATACAGCTGCCCATTTTTTCAATGTGCCGCCCCCCCCCTCATTGCCCAACCTCCCGCCTCCTCCCTCCCTCCAGTAAAAATCTGCTCCAACTCCAGCGTCAACCAATGCTTTGCATGAGCAAGCACAGTTCTTCATAAACTACTTAAAAAAGTGCTTGTTAATGATCGTTAATGCAGGAGGGGGGTGGGGAGGGTCGTATTTCAAAGTTTTCCTCGACGCTGGTCCGCTTGACCCTGGTCCAGAATCTTAGTTGCAGGCTTTGATAATTATTTTTAAAACTCACATAGAATTTGTAGTTAGGATATTGGAATTTGAGCGTCCGCACTTGCTGTTCAAGCCCACCATTCCACAGGAAGAAGAACGCATCATGGAAGTATTTGAACAGGTGGCCGTTATTGAAGAATGGCACTCGTTTTCTGGAAAAAGAAGGCAATGGAGAGTTGGAATCGCTTTGGCGAATAGGCTATTAGGCGAGCAGGCGAAGAAGCGTGAGAACGTGCAGTCACGTGAGTAGTTCATCTTCAACGCTTCTACGTGTTCACTCGCCTAAGTGCTCATTAATCAAACTGTTTCAAGAAAGAAACTGTTCCATTAAAACTCACACGAAGAAACTCATAATTTCGTCGGTCATTTGGTAACTGCCGTCTGTCCCTCGAAAGGCGATAATAATCGCTTTTTCAACAGGATCCCAAGCTGTATATCCATGACATTTGGTATCTGAGCAGAATTTAAAGGTAAAGATCAGAATAGCTGAAAGGCGGTGCGGTTTTAATGCTGTCACTGGACATCATTGGTGGACTAGACCCCTCTGCGCGCTAGAAGGTGAGGTTGGGACCGAGGGTGAATAATGGTCGAGGAAATCTCAACCATTGCTCTTTGTGTGAGAATAGTGTCGGAAGTGAATGTAGGCGCGGAGAGCGACGGCTTGCGCGTGGCGAGAGTAAATGTCCAGGTGAGCGTGACTGAAAGGGCGAAAATTCTTGAATCCTCGACCGATTTTCACCCTGGTTAAACTTAAACTCTTTCTCCTAGGACCCCTACACCGTTGACGTTCGATCACGATTGAAACCGCAACGACTTTCAGTCATCATGCCAGCTGCTGTTAGAGGTTATAAGGTAACTGTTCGACTTGCTTTTTTTTCGTCCGAAAATATGTTATGAACAAAGCGATCCTAGTATA